CTTCTTTCTGCGGCCCAAGCTGCCTTAGAGGCCATAGAAAATCACACTCCAGCTCCTGTTCCCCCGCAGCCCCTCGGGCCAGCAGCTGCACCCACCCCTCCCCGAGTGGCCCTGCGCCCCACTGCGCCTCGCCCTCCTCTCCCATGGTCCCCCCACATGCGCCTGCCCAGCGGATGCTGTGCTGTAGCTCCTCTGCCTTGGTCTGTGGTCTTCCGAGGGCAGAGCTCCAGGGCTGTGCCCAGCACGTTGCTGGCACACGCATGTTGACTGCGGGGCAGAGGGAGGAGGCTTCTTTCTCCCTCCAGATTTTTGAAGACTGCTTTGCCTGGCGTGGGCTAGTGTTAGCCAAGCCCTGCCTATGCTCCGAGCTCCTCCTTGCTGCCCTGCAAGAGCTGGATACTCTGCTGAAGCTGCATACACAGGCTGTGACTCTAGCGTGGGGAGGAGAGAGGGAGGGAGGCTCTCTGGAGGCACCCCCTCCTGGGCCTCCCCAGTCAGGCAAGCCCCTTCTGTCCTAGAGGTGGAAAAGACATGAAGCCTTCACCCCAAACTTCTGAGACAGTTGATATTCCACTAGTGGGGTCCAGGTGGAAATGGGGAGGAAAGAGGGTGAGCACATTTCCACCCCCCACACAGCTCTCTCGAACCTGGGAGAAGTTCTGCTGCCCGTCTGGAGGGGGTGCAGGTCACAGGACGTGGGGAGCTTTGTCACTGTAAAGTGCTGTCTGTGTGAACTGGGGCCTCTGTTATGGCAAATGTGGTTTGAGTGTGGGTGGAACAGTTTGTCCTCGCCCAGCCAAACTGCCTTGCTTTCCTGCCTAGTGTCACCGAGGGCTACTCCCTGCGGGCATGGCCAGGCCCTGAGGGATTGCTGGGGGAGGTGGTTCTGTCCCTGACCCGTTGCTTTCTGTACCTGCTGTGCACCCAGGCTCAGGGCAACCCGCTGCCCTGAAGGAGGTGAGGTTGCCCCAGAGCTAGAGGGCGGGACCACCTCTCTTCTCAGGGTCTCGGCTCCCCTGTTCCCATGCAAATCTGTCCTCCAACCTCTGAATGTGCGCTGCCTCTGGCTACGCTGCCAGAACGCCCCCCATTCATTGCTGCAGGGGAGTGACCGGTTCCCAGCTCCTGACCCAGCTTCCTTAGGGTTTGTTCTGTCGAGACTGTTTTCCCTTCAAGTTGTGTTGAGAAATAGGAAGCCCTTTCTCTGGAGCTGCCCCCTTTGTAGCGCCCTGGGACAGGCTGGGCAGCTGAGCAGGGACAGGCAGGCTCGGTTGCCTGCTCCTCCATTCACCGAGGTGGGGTGGCCTTTGTCCTGTGCGACCTGACAGCACAGAGCTGTTCCCGTCCCAGCAAAGGCTCCAGCCTGCTCTGCGCGGGTGGGAGTGGGGCAGCTTTTCTCTGAAACTTGGTGGCAGAACGCCTGGGGTTCGAACCTGATGCTCGCTTACTGGTTGGTTTGGCTTGTGTGGATCGGTTTCCTCTTCTGTAAAACAGGAGATGCAACTACTTGCCAAGGGAGATGGTAGTGGAAACCGAGCCTTGGGTACGTGGTAACCTTTCAACAAATGACAACTTAAGCCCCCATTTCTTAGGCCACCACCAGACAGGTAGGAGGGCTCATGAACGTTGTTAGCCTGTTTTGTTAGCTTGTCTTTCCCCATTTGATCAAGTCACCCCAATGGCTACCGTGATCCTGTGTGCTCTTGGGTGTTGGTGGAATTCCTCATTGAGGAGAGAAGTGGCCTTTGTGGAAATGGACTCAGGGTCCCCTGTGGCATAGTCAGTGCCATGCTCTCGCCTGCCTTTGTTTTTTCCCTCTGGTAAACGGGAAGAGTCCATTTCCCAGACTCCCCTGGTACAGATTGGGGAACAGGAGACTTGGTTCTCCAGGTTCTTGAAGGCTCCCCAGGCGAATCTCCAGTTGTCTCTCTGCTGTCCTAGTGACTGGATAGAAGCTTGAGGGGACATGGTCATGTCATAAAGCAGAAAAGCTTGCCCGCTGGTCATTGGGTGGAAGAGAACCTCTATGTGAGTCTGTGTTGGGCTTTGTGTGGCAGGAAATGAGTTTCTGTTGTGCTGAGCCACAGAGATTTGGAAGTCACCGTTACCCCAGCCTGGCCTCGTGGTGACCATCTAACCAAATCCAGCCGCTGCTCAATGCATCCATTAGTTCCCTCCCAGACTAGGGGAGCTCATAACTGGAGCCCTGCATTTTCAGGACCACAGGCTTATGCCGAGACACGTAAGGATCATGCCCATCCCCGGGCTCTGATGGTGCAGACCCTATGCAGGTCCACCATGTTCGTGCATGGGATATTCCCAAGGAGTCTAATCTGGGAGGTTCTCCCACTCTGCATGCCCAGTGTGCACACATCTAAGCAGAAGAGTTAGTATCAGCATGAGCTTTAGAAATGTGCAAAATAGAAAAGACCAGTGGAGGGAGTTTTGGATCCAGAGCAGTGTCAAGTCATAGCAAAAGTCCCAATGGCCTTCGGAGCTGTGTCTCCAGCCCAGACTGCAACATTTTGCTCTAGACTCTCCCCCCGTCTCCTGAAGAGCTTGCCTAGACGTCTCAAGCTTGCCTTGCCCAGAACTACACTTATCCCCTTTCCTCCACCTTATACCACCACCTGCCCTTTAAACTGCCTTGCCCTCCAGTGTGTCCCTTTGCTCAGCGCTGGGGATTCTTCTCTCACCTCCAATCAAGACCAATCTGTTTTCATCTGCCCACTGAGGATTTCTTGAGAATCGGGGAGAAGCAATGGAAATCAATCAGAGAAACTAGAGGAGTCAAGCAAAATCCCATGGACAGCACCATCCCTCCAGCAGGCCGACTCCCCAGAGCCCAGCACATGAGCAAATGGGGCCACGCTGGCCACAGAACGCCTGTGTGGTATTTCCCTTGGTAGGAGAGAGAGAAGAGGTGCAGACACAGGGAATTCTGGGGGCTGAGGCCCAGGAAGCCCAGGCCCTGGCATTGCCCAGAAAGGGAAGATGTGGTCTGAGAATGCATCACGGCAAGGAGGGGTACGTCCGGGCTGTGCTGGAGCTTCAGCTGAGACTGTGGTTCGGGAAACCCTAGGCCTGACCAGTGAGGCTCCATGAGCAGAGAGAACCCCTTATTGAGGAGAGCCCCCGGGTACCTCCTCTTCTGAAAGCTTTTTATCTCACCTGAGGATAAACATGGGCTGCTGTATATAATGTACAGTGCTGCTCTCACGGGGTGCTCCATTAATGCTGGTTCATCACTAATTCAGGATTCATGGAAGGATTTGGGCTTAGAAAATCTGGGGTTTTTTAATCCTAAAAACTTAATGCTGCCGTTAGTCAGAATTCTTTCCATTTGAAGTGACTACAATCTCCTTCAAATTAACTTAAAGAGGGGCCTCCCCGGTGGCGCAGTGGTTGAGCGCTGGGTTGCGAAGCTGCCCGCAGCCTCTGCAGTGCTGGTTCGATCCCCGGCTGCTCCCCGGCCACTGGAGGAGGGTCCCACATGGCGCGCAGACCTTTCCTGTCCCCCGCTGCTCCCCTCAGCAGTGTACTTCGGTCCTTCTGCCTGCTCTGCTCCCTGCTCTGGCTCTGGTGAGTTCTCTCTCACCATCCCGTGCTTCTGACTGTGCCCAGTGCTTGTATAAATAAATAAAAAAAAAAAATCTTAAAAAAAAAAAAAAAAAAAAAACAAATTAACTTAAAGAAAAAAAGGAATTTATAAGCCACTGAAATTGACGTGTTCAAGGTTAGCTCTGACTTCAGGCATGGCTGGATCCAGGGACTCAAGTCATGTCACCAATATCAATCTTTCTTTGCTGTCAACTCTGCTTTCCTGCGTGTGGGCTATATTGTCAGGCAGACTCATGGCCAGCAGTGTCCCAACAGTTTCAGGCTAAACCCGCAGGAGAGAAGAATGTACCCCATTTGCTGTGACTTCACTCAGAGGGCCAGCAGTTCAACCATGCATGCTTATCCCTGAGCAGTCACTGTGGTCAGGCCTGGGCCATGCGGCCACCGAAGCAACCTCTGAGCTGGGGAGAGGTGGTTTCCCAGAGGAAAAAGGGGCGTGCGGTTCCCTGAAAGGGGGATGTGAATGCTGGGTGGGCACAGGCGGTTGCTGCCTGTTTTAGTGTCGGTGTGCACAGTGAGCCACCTGCAAGAATAGCTCCCTGCAAGTGAAAATGGTTGTTTGGTCACCCCGCTGGGGACTCGCAGGTGGAAAATTCTCCTCGGTGCTTTGAACATGCAGGGAGTTTATTTACATGGTGGGGGGCATCACTCGCCAGGAGACCCAGTGGTGATGGGGGTGCTTGGGGGCTCCTCTCACCCATCTGTGCACTTGCCAGGGGACAGGGAGGAGTCAGGAGATGACGCAGTGTGCAGAGGCCTCAGAACATGCATGAGCAACTCCACGTGGAGACCGAGCAGCCCCATCACAGTAGTGTGTGGTGGTTCCCCTGCCGCCCTGTCTCCCAGCTCCAGGCCTTGAAAAACCTTCAGTTGTAATAAGTGTTTGTGGAATGACTTAACAAACTCAAGTAAATCCGAGTTGGTGTGTGCTGTCTGTTCAGACCCGAAAGAATGAGGAAAGAAAGATTTTTGTGCAGAGGGGAGAGTTCTGAGACACAGGGGGCTGGGGGAGCTTTCTTCAAATCTCCAAAATGAGAAGAGAGCTGGCCTCAGAACGAGGAACAGAAGAAGAGTGATTTCCTCTCATTTAAAAAATAAATATTCTTATGGTCAGACCGCTCGAAAAAACATTCTGGTGATTCAGGGAACTCTTATCCATCAACCTCCAGAAAATTCTAGAATAAAGACACTTATATTTGGTCAAAAGGTACCTAATAATCCAGTTCCTTAAGAGATGCGTCCCCGAGGAGGCTGTGAAGTTTGATGACCCCTTGGCAGTCTTTTTGGAGGGGGATATGGGTGGGGGTTCTGAGAAGGGGGCCTCCCACCCACCCACCACTTTCTGATCTCTCTGCCAAATTCTTTTTGCCTTCCTGCAGGTCTGGGTAGATGCTGGGACACAGATCTTTTTCTCCTATGCCATCTGCCTGGGTTGTCTGACTGCTCTGGGAAGTTATAACAATTATAACAACAACTGCTACAGGTGAGCATTCCCAGGCCTGCTGGCTCCCCGCACACTCCACCCTGCCCCACCAGTGCCCATGCATGTCCCTCCCCCAACCTCGGCAGGGCCAGGAGGAGGCAGGTGGGCTGTTTCTCAGCCTGTCCCCACCCTGAGGTCAAAGGTGGCCCCCGATGGAGGTAGGATGATTACAGATGTGATCAAAGCATATTCCAGGCTGCAAAGCAAGCCCACTCCTGAAATCATATACAGGCTTCCATCCCACCCTTTGAGGCAAAGATCCATTCCCAGGTGGGTAAGCGGCTGGCCCAAGTTACAGAGCGAGGAAGAGCAAAGCCAGGATTTGAACCCTGGCCCTTTGCACCAGGCTCTTGTGCCTTCTGTTCAGAATCCTGCTCCCTGCCCTGCTCACTTAGTTGTGGGATCCTGTCCTGTCCCACTGGAGTTCTGGCGCCTGTCTTGTCCTTCAGCCTGCAGTTGGCCACACCAGCACTGGGAGGGACCCCCAGTGGGGAGGGGAGTCCATGTTTTGAGTGAGACTGAGGGCAGGGACCGGCCCAAGGCTACCAACAGTCATGTGCTGGAAATGAAATTGCCCCCTGGCCACTGGCTCCAGGCTGGTGGTATTCTGCTGAGGTCCCTGCACCCCGAATTCAGTGCCTGGTGACAGAGGTAGATGTTCAGGGACGACTGCACAGTGCATCTCATCCTTAGAGACAGACAGCTCCTCATTTGAATATGAGGGTTTGGTGTCACGGTGATGAAGCCATTGCTCACAGCTGAGGAAGGACAGATTTTCCAGCAAGTGGTTCAAAGATTGGAGTGTTTGGGGGAGATAGTCAGGGTAGACCCCATTCCTTGCCCCAGGTTTGCACCACAAAAGGTGTCAGATCAACAAAAGAATGAAGTGTACTCTAAAACAAAACCAGGAAAAAACTGATTTCACAACAGGAAAAGATGGAGAAAACAGTAAAACCCTAGCGTCACAAAGGAAGAGAATAATAGATTGATCCCCATGAAAATCTTAAACTTCTGAAAAGTTTTAGAACAAAACACAGGAAATTATTGAAACTCGCCTCCTCTGGAAAGTGGGGCTTGGAAGTCAGAAGTGGAGAGACAGCTTCTTACCTGTATTCACCTGGAGAGTTTAGATGTTTGTACTCTGAATACATATTACTTTTATAATTTAAAGTTAAAACAAACATCTACATGCCCTTCCATATTATATCTCCAAATAAACTCTTGTGAAGATTATCTATACAATGAAAGGGTACACTAACAACATACAGTGATACTGAAAGGATCTGTAGCCATAATATGTAAAGGCAAATAGATCAATATGAAAACCAATAGGAACATCAACAGACTCTAATAATGACATCACTTTCCTCAACTAGCAGGTTTGCCGTGGTGCTGGCCTTGGTCTTGGCATGGTCAAGGAGCCCTGTTCTCCACAGGCCAGTGTTCTGTGGACAGCAGTGTTTACACACACTCAGGCCAAGCTACCATTCAGCTTGAGAGCTGGGTGGTCACCTGGGATCAGGCATTTGCAAGAACTGTCAGTGATGAAGTCCCTCCTACTTTAGCCCATCTGCATGATAGGAAAGTTGAGGCTCATGCTGGTGGACCCCCCCAGCTGTGGTAGCACCTAGACTCCAGCTGAAGTCTCCCAGGCTCCATCCCAGCCTGCTGTTATGTCCTTTCCAAAAGCTCCCATTAACCCACGTGTCACATCGACCATGCTCACGGTTTTCACTAAGCAGGAGATATCTTGGGAGATAAACACAGGAGTGGCCCCTTCCCAGTCTATAGGTTGTAATTGGGGGAAACTGAGGCACTGAGGAGTTGAAATACACAGACCCAACCTGCTGAAAAGAAGAACCACTGGGGAATCCAGTTCACCATTATGCAGCAAGCTCGTGGTTCCTGGGGACCTTGGGGCGGATCAGAGGGCTTCAAGCCAGGTTGTGCCCAAGGTCCCAGCCGGTGCTGTGCTCCCGGGGATGAAAGGGGGCACGCCGTCAACCACAATACAAAATGGTAACTGCAGGCAGGAGGCGAAAGGCACAGGGACAGGGGGAGCAGCACACCTGGTCCAGGTGGAGGCGCCCCTCAGGCGCTGTGTGCGCACAGTGATCACTGCCAGCCAGCGCTTGGTCACCAGCCATCCCCTCCGGCTAGACTGCCACCTCCTGAGGACACAGACTGGGTCTCTTTGCTACCGTCCCTCATGCCTGTTACAGTGCTGGATGCCGGGCAGGAGCCACACCATTGTTCACACTGCCAGCGATGGAACACGACTCTCTGGTTCCCGCGCCCCTGTTCCTCTCCATCAATGCCCAGTCCTTCCGCAGTCATGGCTGGAGAGGATTTGGCCAAGGTGCCTCCTCAGGCTGTGTCTCCAGGCACTGGAACTTTCCTCCCCACTGAGCTCATGGGTGAAATATGCTGACCGCTGGTCTCCCTTCTGCTTCCCCATCCCACAGGCGGGGGTTTCATCCTCTCCCATCAGCAGAAGAAAGCCAGTCCCCTGGGTGACACTGCAAAATCTGAAGGCTTGATTTATTTCCATTTCCCAAATTGTTCACAAGCAGGTCTTCCTAACTCGGAGGGAGTAAATTAATACCCTCCCTTCAAGCAGCATAATAGCTTCTGGAGGTCTTCAAAGCCCAGCTTTCTGCTGCCAACTTCAAAGCGCTCTTACATAAGCCTTTCACCTAGAAGGTGGGGGGGTGGGGGATTAGCAGAATGGGGATGGAGCAAACCCAGCAGCAAACGTCTCACTTCAGAACACAGGCCACTGGATCCTGTGTGCTTGGAGGTGCGGGCGCCCAAGGCTGCTGAGCGGTCTGTTCACTGCCCTCTGAGGAAATCACTCGGGAGCCGCTGGGGGCAGGCGGGGCCTTGCAAACAGGGAATTTTTTTCCGAACAGTCGCAGGGATGCCCAGAGGTAATTGACCACAGTCTGGGGTTGGACGTCTTCGTTCTTAGAAGTAGCTCCTAGAGACAGCACGGGCACTGGTGCAGATGATGAGGTGCACGTCCCAACTTCACGGTTGTGACCTGGGCAAGCCTGGGTGTGGCTTTGTCCCCGAGGCTTGGGGTTCAGTGGCGCAGTGGCCAAGCATCCCGCACACGGCCCAGGCACATCACGGTGGTACAGTGATTCCAAGCCATATAGCAGAATCCCAGAGGATGCGGCCAGAAGACTTTCTGGTTCCCATTGCCATTGTTTGATAAGTCAGGGTCATTGCGCCTCAGACTTCAGGAGCAGATTCATCCCAGTCCAAGGAATGACCCTGTCCTTACCTAGGCTGAGCTGAATTTTCTTTTGAGAGAAGAGAAAGGCGGCTTGCGGAAAAGATCCCCAGACCCACCAGTCCAGCCCAGGTCCACGTGCCAGAGATTCCTTTCAAGGAAGCTGTATTGGCTGCTCACCACCGCAAGGAGGTGGTGTAGCAAACACCCGGAGGCGCAGCACAGCCCTCGCTTGCGTTGCTCATGAGCCTGTTGGTGGACTAGCAAGACACCTCCAGACTTGGTTCTCTCAAGACTCAGTCCTTGGCGGTGTTTGGCTCCAGGGTCCAGACCTGACTCAAGTCTCCTCCATGTGGAAACATTCTGGGGTGCAGGCTGCAGGGATAGTAGGTCCCCTGAAGAAGTTCTTCTCATGGCAGATCACAGAGGGCTAAAGGACAACCCCCACGCACAAGCATATCTCAGGCTTCCGTCTGCATCACGTCTGCTAGTACACTGTTGACCAAAGCAAGTGACGCAGCCAACGCCAGAGCAGAGGGGCAAAGTGACATACTCCAAACCAAGGAAGGAGGAGGGAGGGTGAGTATTGGCTGGAAGATGATGTACTCGAACAAAGACCAAGGATCTGGTCATCTAGCAGAGTCAGGTGCAGAGGAAAGATATTGCAGGGAGAATTGGCACCCAGACTGCCAAGTCCAGTCTAAAGCTCTCTTCACTATGCCCTTGAATCCCAAGATCACTGCAAAACACCAGGGGGTTACAGTCACCAACATGAGTGTGCCCTTCGGTTGCATTACAAAAAGTATGATGTCAGGAGAAAAGGAAGTGACAGTCCTACCCTGTTCTTGAGGCCTGTGCTCAGTCCTGGCTATAATACAGATAATAAGCTATATTACAGGTCAGGAGCTGGGACATTTCACTGAGAATGAAAACTCAAGGAGATATAGAACCACTGGCTTCAGGTCTCCCAAGCCTGAGGGAGCTCCAGAGAAGGCAGGTTTTAGCTGAACACAACACGAGGAAGTTGTAGCTGCTGTAAGCAGCGAGAGCCATTCAGCAAGCCCTTCAGCACCCCCCCTCTATCTTGGGGGAGTGAGGTGGCCGCCTCCTACTCACCCCACCAGCAGTACTCCAGGCCCATGTGCTCCAGTGCTCCGTACCTCAGGCAGAGGTTGGATCAAGCTCCCGGTGCCTGCAAACTGGAACATCAAGCGTACTGTCAGCCTGGCCGGCAGCGCAAGCCCTGCAGCAGCGCAGGTCCTGGAAGCTGATGCGGGCAGTCAGGATGTGGCCCTGGAGTAGGGGTGCTGAGGGCGTTAGGGCACCTCCTCCTTCACCTTGGCAAAGCCTGGTGGTTTGAGGTCTGATTTCTCCCTGTCCCAGCTCTGTGCCAGTGCTGCTTTGCTGGGGACTAGGGGACAGTCACTGCTTGAATTAATCCCCTGTGAGGGGTCCGACCTGGAAGGGGCTGGGCCCTAGGAACAGCAGAGCGGGAACGGAGTGTGGGGGTGCCACTGTGATGAGTGGCTTGGCCAGGATGTATGTCTCCCCTTAAGCTGCTGCAGAGTGAAGTCTGAGGTTTCTCCTCCCCTTCTCCTTTGAGCTCTCAAGAAGTCAGTCCCCTCATGCTCCCTGCTTTTCTCTCTGACCAGAAACTCGGAACAGTTGTAGTTGGTCTCCGGTATTTTCTCACGGGTTATGCATTTTCCCACTTGCCAGCCTCCCATCCTCCTCACCCCTCTCCCGCTTTGGTCTGTGTTCTGCCTTGTCTTCTGGAAATGCAGGGGAGCTGGGTGGCCAGGCCTCAGCTCCTAACCTCTCTGAACTACAAGCATTATTACCCGAGGCACACAGGACTGTCCTCACCTGCCCTGCCCTGCCCCCCCCCCCACCTTCGCAGGGTGACCTCGGGCTCAGCCCACAGCTTCCACCTGCTCTGACCAAGCCCCTTCCACCTCCCCGCAGGGACTGCGTCATGCTCTGTTGCCTGAACAGCGGCACCAGCTTCGTGGCCGGATTTGCCATCTTCTCCGTCCTGGGCTTTATGGCATATGAACAGGGGGTGCCCATAGCTGAGGTGGCAGAGTCGGGTAAGTTGCTGCAGGTGGAGTGGTGGAGATAACTACTGTTTTTCTCCCCTGCTCATCCTTTTCCTGGTCCAGCTCTCCGCAGATGGCCCTGCCATCACTCCCAGATTCCTGGGAATTATCTGGGAGGGAAGCCATGATACCTCCTCACTCCTGAACCCAAGGCGTCCCCAGAGCCTCCATTTCCTCCACTTCCCCTGCTCTACTGTCTTGCCCACCCCCCCACTGCAGCCCACACTACCCCCACTGCTCACCTTGATGGCTGCAGGAACCTCTCACTGGCCTCCCCACTCTACCATTGGCGCCCTCTGTTTGATGCACAACCCTGCACGGTGATTTTTTTTTTCTCAAATTGCAAATCTGAACATGTCCTTCTCTCATGAAAAGCCTTTTTTGGGCTTCTCATGTGGCTAGACTCAGCCTGGCCCACAGGCCCTGTGTTGCCAACTCCTGCAGCCTCACCACCACCTGGTTCTCCCATGCCCACACTGCCCGCTGCTGCTGTGGTCTACCTTCCCTTGCCTCACCACATTCTCCTTCCAGCCACAGGGCCTTTGCACATGCTGCTCCCTCTGCTGGTGGAAACCTTGTCTCCCTTTCCCTGCCCTAGATGTCAAATCCATGAGTGTGACATTCCTAAGTATGAATTGACATATGTATGTGTGAAGCACAATACAGGCAGGGTCACTGTCACCGAGGAGATTGTGTGAAATGGTTAATCGCTCTTCCCTCGATTTGCAGGGTGTTTGAATTCTGGAAAAATTCATGATTGGTTACATGTTAGCATTTATTTAAAAGTACAGAGTTTGATTCTAACCCCAGGTAAGTGTGAATAGGTTTCTCCCCTAAAGGAGTATCTAGTGAGACAGTCTGTTGAGAGCCACTCAGGGAGCCTGCCTTTCTGGCCTCCACTGAGTAGGCCTACCCCAGGTACCACAAGACCAGACTGCCTCTGGTCCTGTTCCACACAGGCTGTTTCTGCCCAACGCACAGTCAGGGGTGCCTCTGCGGCGAGCTGAGCCATGCACAGCGGTGGATGTGGACACAGAGCAGGACACTGCACTCCAGACTCTGCTCCATGCCGCTCAGGGTCCACCTTCCCTGGGTAATGGATGCCAGAGGTAGACACGGTCCTGCTGAAGTCAGGGGTCCAGAGCTAGGCCAGAGGGTGCCAGCACCATGGAGCTCACCAGCACCCAGCACCCAGCGCCTGCTCTGGGCAGGGACTGTCTCCCACGGTCCTCGGCTCCACATTTCCAGGAGGCACTCTCTCCACCCCCCACTTTTTACACATGAGGAAGCTGAGGCTCAGAGAGGTAGGTGGCTCACTCAAAGTCACCTAGCCTGGAAGTGAAAGAGCTGGGGTTTAATTCGGGCCCTCTGGCTCCAGGGGCCACTGAGGGGGAGGCCTCTGGCACTTGATAAAACAGCCCTGCGCTTCCTCGCATGGAACCACTCATGGCCTGTGAGGAGGGAGCACTGGAGCTTCATCCTCCCCAAGAATCCGCTTGCTCTGTTGTGAAATGAACATCCTAATTCCCACCTAAGTGTTGAGCGAGCGCTGAGCGAGGAGGCATAGACAGGAAGGGGAAGGGCCAACTAAAAATAAATTTCCTTGGCTTTTATTTTAAATTGAAAGCATATTCATTGTAGAAAAATGTAAAAAGGGAAAAAAATCTCCAATCCCTGGCCGACAACACTTTGGAGTTCTGCCAGAACCTTCCATGCGTCTATTTGTGTTGATGAAAACTGGCTCGTGTGTCCTCGGCCTTGGGCAGGCTGCACCTTTCCATTCCCAAGCGAGCGCGAGACGCTGAGTTTGCCTGCAAACTCAGAGGGGCTCGGTCATGACCGCGTGGCAATCCCCTGAATGGGGGTGTCACCCTTGATATCTCAGACCTGGGGGGCGACCTCATGAAATGCTCGCAGTGCAACCACAAGGTGGGCTTGCTCAGACCCCCGCCCACGGCTTTGCAGAGTGCACCACCCCACGTCCCCATCACAGACCTCAGAGCTCAACCTGAGGCCACCTGGACCCCCGCGGCTCAGCCTGATACTGGCCACTCCTGCAGCACCTCCCTAGGCTGCTCTGGGTGCCCTCAGGTAGCTCTGCCCGCTAAGCAGACTTGGGATATGGATCAAACCAGGGTCCTTTGTCAGAGTCCCTGCATATGGAGAACTGCAAGTTGCAAGTGTGTAGCCACCTCACCTTGCTCAGAGGACCTGGACTCACTGCTGAGGGTTGATTTGGGGGGGATTAGGTATCAGACCATTCAGGGGGCTGTCCCAGCACAGCCGGAGCCAGGAAGAGGCACCCACTTCTCACAGGCTCAGCTTTGCCCACTGCGAGCCCAGTGCCCCAGACTCGCTGCCCTCCCTGCAGCCCCTCAGGCTGGGGCTGACTCTCTCCCAGTCAGGATGCCCTCTCCAAGGGAATGCTGTGAACACCTCCAGCCTCTAATACGTTTGATTATGTAGATTAAATGGACAGCTCACAGGATGAAAGGATAACATCCTGTGATGTTTTCTATGCTAACAATAAACAATCGGAAATTTTTTTAAAATTCTGCTCTTGGGCCTCCCTGGTGGCGCAGGTGGTTGAGCGCTGCACTGTGAAGCTGTCCACAGCCTCTGCAGTGAAGGCTCGATCCTGGCCAGCCAGCGAGAATCCCGCATGGCACAGCAGACCTCTCCCGTCTCACCCGCAGCTCCCCTCAGCAGTGTATTTCACTCAGTCTGCCTGTTCCGTTCCCCGATATGTCTCTGGTGAATCCTCCCATGTATCTGGCCTGTGCCCTGGTTCTTGTATAAAAATAAATAAATCTTAAAGAAAAAAACCAAACTTCTGCTCTTCACAAGATACATTTAAGAAAATGAAAAGGCGCATCACAGATGAGGAGACCTGCTCTTCTCTGATAGAGGATTTATTTAGATTCCAGAAATAGAGAGAATTCCCACAGCCCATAAAAAGGAGACCACCCAATAAAAAGAGGGCGAAGATTCAAACAGGCGCTTTAGACAAGGCATATGAGTGCACGGAGAAGACATGCGAGGATACTCCACATACAATAAAAAACTAAAATGACATAACTCCATTCCTGATCAATTTAAAAAACTGACGATATGGAGGGCTGGAATAGACACGGAGCCCCTGGAATGCCCGACTGCGGCTGGTGGGATGCAAAACCACACCACTGCTGGGGAAATCATCGTCCTCAGTTTTGGAAACAGATCAAAGAAAGAGGGTTTGAACCCAGGCCGTCCTTGACACTCTGTGCCAGACCTGCCACGGCTGGCGTCTCCCCTGACAGCAGTAAAGCTCATCCTGCGGGGACACTGCCGAGCTCTCTATTCAGAGCAGCCGAAAGACGTGAGGTGGACCTGGGAGGGGAGGGGAGAAGCCCACAGCTTGGGGGCGCAGCATTGGTCTAGCCTGGACTCCTAACTACCTGCGTGTGGGGGGGCTGGGTCCTTGCCTCCCCCTAGAATCAGAATCAGCCGCTGGGCGGGCCTGGGAGCCTGCATTTCACCAAGACCCTGCCTGTGCCTGTGGGGAGGGTAGAGGCAGCCTGTGCAGAGGGCAATTTGTGTTGTCACTCCAGCCCCGGACTGAGCCCCACCCTCCTCACTCCTGCGTCTCTCTCTATCTTGGCTCTCTCGGCTGCAGCGTGGCAGTGCCCGGGCGCCCAGCTCATGGGGTGGTGGGAGAGCTGAGTGACCCGGTGAGAGGCAGCAGGGCCAGCGCAGACCCAGCTTGGGTTGGGTAATGGCTGGAGGGACCAAGCGCTTCCCATCACCTGTCTCTCTCTCCTCCCTCCAGGCCCAGGGCTGGCCTTCATCGCGTACCCCAAGGCTGTCACCATGATGCCCCTGTCCCCGCTGTGGGCCACCTTGTTCTTCATGATGCTTATCTTCCTGGGCCTGGACAGCCAGGTAAGCCCTGGGGGCAGCGGCTGGGGGTCCCAGTAGAGGGCAGGGAGCCGCACTGCTCTGGGAGGCTCAGGTTGTCAGGACCCGCTCACCGTGCCACCTGCTTCTGTCTACCAGGCTCTCCCCATTCACCCCCAGACACGTCTGTCTGCTCAGGCCCCTCCACGACTTCCCTGACTCTGTCTCCCTCACCTGCAATCCCCTACTCGCCGCCCAGGTTTCTGAGAAGTTGCTCAGTGCTTCCATGCTGCCAGCCTCTGCCCACCAGCACCGCCTGGCAGAGCAAAGAAATTCCCAAGTGGGCAATCCTCCTGGCCTCCAAGGGCCACCAGCACACACGTCCCTGTTCCAGCCCCATCACTGAGGACACAAGACATAGAAAAGTGCTCGCTTCCTTCTTCCATCTCTGTCTGTTGCCACCGGGATGTGCTCCAGACATCGATGAGGGTCCTCTGTCCCACCCCCAGCTCCCCCAGGCCCCCCACATCCCACCTGACTTCCTGCCTCTTTCCTCATCCCCAGCTCCCCCTGCAAAGGGTTAGAGCTGGCAGTAGAGGTTCCCTTCTCCCTTTTCCTTATCCACATACAGGCAGGGGCTTCCCAACCTGCCCCAGCCATTTCCCTGGTTCCCTAGAGAACCCCTCAGCCGCTCCCCAGCCCCAGAGACCTGTGCTTGGTCCTGCCACCCACCGCACTGGCTCCACAGAACCCAGTGGGTCTTCCGGCCCAAGCCAGTGACCACTGTCAGCCTGGGGCCTGTCGACGAGCTGCTGCCCTCACCCGTGACCTTGCACAGGTCACTTAGCACCCAAGCCGTGGCCAGTGTATCTGTCCACCCTGCCAAGTCCAATTTCTCCCCCTGAACGGTTTCTCAGAAACCGCTAAGCAGAGCCACTGAAGCCCCGTGTGTTTCTACTGATAATCCTCCCTGGCGTTGTCACGGGCGGCCTCAGGAGAGATGATGTCAGCCGTGCGTGACAGTGACATGCGGGCGTCCTTCTCAGAGCGTGGTGGGAGGCGGGCCCAGCTCTGCACGTCCCGGGCTGGCCCCGCGGTGTTTGCAAGGGCCTGGGCCCCAGAGTTCCGCCATGGAGGGCGGATGAGCACCCCTGCCCCAATGCAGTGCTTTGCCACCATAGCCACCTGGGCTGGGACTCCCTGCTTTTATCCCATGTTACAGATGAAGAAATTGAGGTTCGGTGATGCTGAGTGACTTGCTGGGACAGCGCCAGGTCTCTGCCTCATGGCCCACCTGCTCTCAAGTCACTTCAGTTTCGATCCTGGGTTAATGGTCCCCTTGGAGTCCCCCCCTCCTTTCCCGGGGACCCTTTCCTGGGAGAAGGGATGAGCACAGCCAGCCCCGCTGGAGAGACAGGCAGCCTGGAGGCTGGGGCCGGGCTCTGGAGTCAGACAGGGCTGCGGGAGTCCCAGCCCACGACTTGCCTGCTGCGTGACCCTGGGCCGGGCCTCACCGCTCTGTGCCTCCCTTTGCCTGCCCGGCGAGGCTGGAAATACCATTCAGGGGGCAGCAGCGAGTCAGAAAGGATTTGGGGCCAGGAAGTGGCTCAGGGAAGGGAGTCTAGCCAGAGGCCCCCATCGTGTCCTCTGTGTCCTCACTCACGAAACAGGATTAGTAACAGCAGGTCAGCAGTCAGCGCAAATAACCTCATGTCTGTGAACTACTCAGATATGGTGTTTGCCATTGTTATTATTTATTATTATTTACTGATCAAATATTTTCTGAGCTTCTCCTCTGTGCCACTAGAAATAGAAAATGAAAATGATGTGGCTCCTGCCCTCCAGGGTCTCACCTTGTAGGGGGACAGACATACGCTAGCATAGGCCCCGGGGGTGAGGGACCCTGGCCCCTCTCTCCGAGAGGGAGGTAACAAAAATCATCATGCAGGAAATCTGCCCCCCATGCGGGGAGAACCTGGGGGCTGATTGGTTTGCTGGGTTATTTGGACTGAGTATTGAGGGCTGAGGAGGAGTGTGTTCGCCTGGCCCCGTCTCAGCAGGGCAGGTACAGCAGGGCATGTGGTCTGCGGTCCAAGCCAGCATGGTCTGCCCAGGGCCAGAGACTCACAGCAGAAACCAGAGCTGGGTGTTGGCTTAGCCCTGAGTACCCTCCACTCAGCAGAGGGGGGCTTGCCCCCCACCAGAAGCAAAGGGCAGGGGAATGAACACATTCCTACAGAGCAGGTAATCAAATCTCGCCCACAGAGCCTGACTACAGCCTGCCACCCGCAGGACACGCAGCCCTTGAGACAGTTACAGACATTCCTGGCTCACCTCCCTGAGAGGGACCGACTGGGTCTCATTTAAATCGTGGACTCAGGACAAGGCGCAGCACAGAGGCACATAACAGGCAGGTGGGCAGAAGGGACACTAGCCTTGGAGTCAGATCCCAGTCCAAGTCCTCGCGCAGTCACGTCCTCTCTGAGGGACCTCGGCCTGGTCACTTCCCCGCTCTGAGCCTCGCTGACCTCATCTGTTTAAAACAGAGCTCTGTAGGGGTGGGGGTTGCTGCTGCTCTCGGAGCCTCTGTGGGTCTGAGTGATGGTGGGGTACAAGCCCAGCAGGGTGGGGCTCACGCTCATACCTGCCACGCTCGCCTGGAGCCAGAGCCACCAAGGGCAGCCTCACTCCCCCGTCCCTCCCTCCCCAGTTTGTGTGCGTGGAGAGCCTTGTGACGGCCGTGGTCGACATGTACCCCAAGGTCTTCCGGAGGGGCTACCGGCGCGAGCTGCTCATCCTGGCCCTGTCGGTCGTCTCCTACTTTCTGGGCCTGGTGATGCTGACAGAGGTGAGTGTTGGCTGGCGACACTGGGCGGGGGCCCGACCTGGGCTTTGGGTGCAGTGGGGCTGCCGCCACATCCCGCTCAGAGATGCAGGAGCCTGTGCCTGGCCAGCCTGGTGGCCTGTGCCTCGGCGCTCGTGGACGCAGTGGGCAGCTCTGCAGGCCTCAGCACAGGGTCTCGCTCAGCAGAGGCTCAGCCGAAGCGCCAGAGGTGCCTGCTCACAGAGGGAAATGCCGGCTCCCCTGGCCATTGTGAGCAGGGGCCCCTGGCCTGCCCCAGCCCCTCCTCCTCAGCCCTGCTGGGACTGTGAGGCCTACCAGGACCTCCAGTTAAGGCTGCCTCACAAAACCATGTCGCCCTCCCGTCCTGCAGCTCTCCTGTCTGATGGTTTCTCAAGTGTCGTGGGAAGTTGAGATCAGCCATCATTCTTCCCAAACTCACAAGATTAATTTAAAAAGTGGGGTTAAAATAATAAAAAAAAAAAGATTGCCTAGAGACAAGAAGAGGTTTTGTACAAACCACAGAAAGAAATGCAGGAAAACAGAACCCATCAGAGCAGCAGATGTGGGCCTGGGGAGCACGTGGGTGACGCCACCTGGTTGAACCTCCTCGTCCTCCACCTCTCAGCTCCAGTGCCACCTCCTCCTGGAAGCCATCTCTGCTTTCCTTCCCCCCAACATCTGGTTCCAAGCTCAGCTAACTTCCCACCCTTATGATGACCCATCTGTTCACCTGTCTCCCTCAGCAGATCCCGGGCTTGCTCTGCTCGGTGCCCCTGGCAACAGGTTGGGGCCTGGCACGGGTGGGCAGTCAGCATGCGGCCGCTGGGGCCATTTGTGCTCCTGGCCACCATCACGTTAATGGGGGCGATCATCAGCATTTGAGCAAACGGCAGCTACGCATTTCCCGTTTCCACCTCTCCTCTCTCCACGCAGGGAAGCCGTGAGCAGGGCCTTATTAAGGGCTGGTTAATTACAGAGGCTTTGTCACATACAAATTGGAGGGGGTGGGGTGCCTGATATGTTAGAGACTCACAGGAGAGCAAGCAATGGCCTGGTGGGCAACCGGCCGGGAGCAGGCAAGGGAGACATCTCCAGGGTCGCCGGCCCCAGGCACCCCCTGCATAGCCTTCTGCCCACCCCCGCACCGGAGCCTCAGGTCTGCCGGGGTGCGGCTGGGGTCCCTCAGGAGCCAGCGCTTGACTGCCTGAGGTTGTTCATCAGCCTCCGTGGACAATGGTCTGTGAGCGATCACACCGGGGAAATTCAAATTGCCAAATGGGCCGTGTCCACCCACCTCAGCCTTCACAGTAATTGCTGGCAAGAGCTTCTCCCTCATTTATCCACATTTAAAACCCAGCTCTAGGGGAAAAATAGGCCACATACTTCCTTTCTCTCACCAAGGCTTTGCGGTAGCCTGGGCTCTGCAGTCAGGCCCCCGGGGCTCGGTGCTCCATCCACACCCAGCAAGCTGTGTGACCCGGTTCTTGCTGCTCTGGGCCTCAGTTTCCGCATGTGACAGTAATCATCACCGTGAAGGAGGAGCCAGACTGAGACTTGCGGGGCGGAGGGGAGAGATGTGAAATGGAGGCTGGAATGAGGAGAGAACATGTTCTCATTTCATGTGTGATGCGCATGGAAGGAGAACAGTATGATGGAGCTGGTCCGCACCGTTCCTGCACCTCACAGAGTGTGACTGCTCACCTACTGTGTGCTGAGTCCTGGGCCAGAAACGGACACAGCTGTGGACAAGATAGAGTCCTTCCCCAGTTAGCACTTACTGGGCAGTCAGGCCTGCTGCTGAGAGCCAGAAACACAAGGAGGACCTGTGTGGGGCCCTCCCAGTGGGAGCTCAAAGTGTCAGGGCTGCTGGTAGAGGGAACCCTTTTTTTTTTTTTTTTTTTTTAACAGTGAGTCCATAAAACATGCCATGAAGTCCATAAAACATGCCATGAAGGCCCAGGCTATCAAGGAGGGCTTCTTGGAGGAGGTGGCATTTGGGCTGTGCTTTGAAGGAACTTAACCAAGTAGAAAGAGGTAGCAGATGTGAAGGGGTCTGCCACTTCTGTTGCAGAAGTGGGACTGTCCCTGGGTCAGTTCAGGAGGGAGTGTGTTGAGGGTAGCTGATAGGAGGGGGAGATAAACCCTGACAGGCAGAGAGAAAGAAGCCAGGGGTGATTTTAAGTGGCAGAATGATGTCATCAGATCAGCATGTTAGAAAGTTCTCTATGGAAGCTGGTATGTGGAAGGGTTGAGGGAGTCAGGCCAGCGGCAGGGAGGCTGCGAGCTGCTGCTTTCCCTCCAGTCTGATTTTCTGTGTCTCCTCTGGGGCTTGGGGAGCAGAGACAAGACAAACCACCACAGACCCCGGGGTCCCTCCTAGGGGACACCCAAGTGCCAGGTTCTGAGGACACTGGGCAGCTTCTAGCCAATGGTAACTACGAGACAGAGGACCCTTCCTGAGACCAGCCCACTGACCCTGCTCTCATGTGTCTGTTCATCCCCGTCCATGCATCCGTCCTCCCGCCTCGCAGGGTGGCATGTACATTTTCCAGCTCTTCGACTCCTATGCTGCCAGTGGCATGTGCCTCCTCTTTGTGGCCATCTTCGAGTGTGTCTGCATTGGCTGGGTGTACGGTGAGTCCAGGCCCAGACCCCCATGCCCCAAGGCCACGGCCATGCCGGGTGCCCAGGCTCAGTGGCTTATCTCCACCTACATCAACCTCCACCTCCTTCCCCTTAGAGACTCCCTGACCTTCCTTGGGAGATCTATTAGATCTACTAGAGATAGATCCCTTGGGGGATCTATACCTGCTTTCCCACCCCTGCAGAGCAAGGGCGGGCTCCAGGCCCCTGGCACAATCACCTTGGCCAGTCTCTGTGTCCCTAAGGCTTGATTCTCTCTTATGTAAAGTGGACTGGTTAGCACCCTGTATCCCAGAAGGAGATAATGTAAGCAAGGCAGCACCCCTCTTTGACCCCATCCCCCAAACCTGATGATGAGGAGGGCTGTCACGCGCCATGATGGCCAACACCCCTGCCACCGCCTGGCTCAGAACGGACACCCCTGCAGGCCATCTGGTCCCTGTGGGACAGCCACCCCCTCCCCTGCCTCCCAGTGGCACCACCTTCCACACCATTCTCTGGGTTCGGGTCTTTGTGATGTCGGAGCAGAGTCCCTCCTGCTAAGTTCACGCCACAGCTTGTCTCCAGGTGGGAAAAGCAAAGCGCTCCCCCGCCCCTGCATCTTGTACAAAACTTCTCTGGGTGTCCCTCTGTTTCATTCTCAACAGGAAGCAACCGCTTCTATGATAACATCGAAGACATGATTGGCTACCGGCCACTGTCACTCATTAAGTGGTGCTGGAAGGTCGTCACCCCTGGGATCTGTGCGGTAAGGACCCTGTCAGGAGCCACCTCTGGCCCACCCACCCGCCTTCCCACACCAGAGCCCCCCAGCCCCGCTGAGGGGACTAGGAGGCACCACCCCCGGGGAGCCTGCCATCCTGTGAAGCTGGCCACATGGGGACAGTCGGGCTGGAGGCAGCACCCAGCTCCGCCACCTGTTTGTGTGTGACCGTGAACAAGTCACCTCCCTTCCCGAGGCTCTATTCTCACCGACCAGGCAGCTGGGGCCAGCTCATGGTAGCGTGAGGCAACATGTGGCCTTGTTAACTGTAAGAGCAGCAAGCTAGGGGCAGGGGGCCATGCTCTGCCCCGAAGGCCAGACTCCAGAGAGGCATGTGTGGAGGACACTGAATCTCTGAAACCCCCTCTGCCCTTCACCGCCTTTTGGCCTCCAAGCATCTCTTCAGAGCTCTAAAAGGCAGCTTGGAAACCAGTCCTGAGAAGCAGCTAGGAAAAGAATAAAATCTTGACAGGCAGGGGTAGTGAGCGTCCCCCAGACCCCGCGAGGCCTCCAATATGTGGGCTTCCCTTCCCTGTGTGTCCCCATTGCGGGGCTCTTCACAGCTGTCGGCGGCTGGCCCCTGGCCCCTCCAGCCTCCCTCCTGCAGGCCTGGCCCATGTGGTCACTCGGGGCCTGGCCTGTCTCCACAGGGCATCTTCATCTTCTTCCTGGTCAAGTACAAGCCACTCAAGTACAACAATGTCTACACCTACCCGGCCTGGGGCTATGGCATCGGCTGGCTCATGGCCCTGTCCTCCATGCTCTGCATCCCACTCTGGATCTTCATCAAGGTGTGGAAGACAGAGGGGACACTGCCCGAGGTGAGACAGAGGGCCCGGAGGGCCCAGCCTGGGTAGGCTGTGGAGCAGGGGCCAGCCAGGGCCCGCTCTGGTCTCAGCTTCTCACCTGGGCAGGGGAGTGACGAGACCCGCCGTGTGGCCAGCTCCTCCCTGGCAGGTATGAGGCCTGGGGTGGAGCAGTGTCTCTGAGCTCAGCCTTGGTCTCCTCGTCTGTAAAATGGGGTCAACAGCAATCTCTGACAGAGGGCACTGTGAAGATTCAGTGAGTTTATTCAAGGAAAATACCTAGACCTAGACACGGACCTGAATTGAGACTAAGCATTGGCTCCTGCTGTTCTGTCCATTCTGTTCAATAACGACCTTTGCCATTCCCAGGGCAAAGGGAAAAGGTCTGGATTTGGGGAACAGTGACCCATGTTGTCCCTCTGCCCAGCTCTCTGCCCTCTGGGGCTTCTCGAATCCTCCAAGCAAACTGGGATCCCAGGCATCGTTTCCCACATGTAACAGATAGTGAAGTGGAAGCTCAGAGACACTAAGTCCCTCGCCTAAGATCACACAGCCCAAAACTAGCAAATCACATATTTTAAAATTATGTTTATGGAGGTGATATTGGTTTACAGCACCCTGTGTCATTTAGGGGCATCAGACTCACACCTCTTCAGGTGTATGTTACCACACCCAGGCCGTAACCCCCAGCGCCATAGGCCCCTCCCTCTCTGATGGCCTCAGTTCTGCAGCCAGATCACAAGGGTGTGTTCTAAGCTAGACCTTTTTGTTGTTGTCAAGATAAGTGTCCTTATGTGACATTGTTAGTGGAAGGTGCAAGACACGATCCAGTGTCTGCAGTGATGCGTGAACTGATCCCCACAGGGTTTAGTTGCATCCATCACCCTGCACAGTTATAGGCTTTGTTTCTGGTGATGAGAACTTTCAGGGCCTGCTCTCAATAATTTTCAAATGTGTAGTATTGTTAACTATAGCCCCTTGTTGAACATCGCATCCCAGGACGCGTTTACTTTACAACTGGAAGTTTGTACCTTTTGACCCTCTCCACCCCATGTGCCTGTCTCGCCGCCCCCTCCCCCCCACCCCAGGCAACCACCAGAAGGTCCTGTGTCTGTGGGCTGCATTTGGTTGGGTTTTGCATTTGTTTGTTTGTTTTTTTAATATTTATTTATGCATACAAGAGCTGGGGTACAGGCCAGAGGTGGGTGGGGGGGTGAGAGGATTCACCAGAGACAGAGTGGGGAGCAGAACAGGCAAACTGACCAAAGTATACTGCTGAGGGGAGAACCAGAGAGTCAGGAGAGGTCTGCTGTGCCATGTGGGTAGCTCCCTGGGGGGGTATTGAACCCATGCTGCAGTGGCTGCTTCATAGGTTGCGTCTTAACCCCCTGTGCCACCAGGGAGTCCCTTGCATTTTTTTTTTTTTAATTCCACATGTAAGTGAGATCATACAGTATTTCTCTGACTTCTTCCACCTAGTTGAATGTCTTCAAGGTCCACCCGCGTTGTTGCAAATGGCAAGATCGCCTTCTTTTTTGTGGCCGAACAACATTCCAGGGACAGAGAGGGGTGGAGCTATAGCAATCTGATTTCTTTCACCCGTCTGTGGCACCTGAGCTGCTTAGCTTCTGTGTCTTGGTGGATGGTTATGCCACATTGAAATGGGGGTGCAGATAGCTTTTAGGTTAGTGTTTCCACTTCTTCAGATAACAACCCAGAATTGCAGGATCATGTGGTTCGATTGCTGATTTTTGGAGAAGATGCCATACTGTGTTCCATCGTGGGTACCAAATTTTTTTAAAACAGCGTCATTGTAGTCTGTTTTATGTATCATAGCCCTCGCCTCTGTTGGTGTATGACTCTATGAGTAACTTTCCGTGTCAGGCCATCACCCCATAGACCAGTTTCAGGACACGCCCACCACCCTAGTGAGGTCCCCATGCCCACCTGGCGTCACCCCTCCTGCCCATGCCTTTGCGGGTTCTGGACATTTCCTCTCCAGAGCTTGTGGGCGTGGCCTGCAGGCAACAGCGTGGATCCCACGTCTTACTGCCGAGCACATCCTCTGTTTACTCTCCTGCCCGCCTGCTGGTGGATCAGATGGTTGGAGTCGGTTTCTCGCTGGCTTAGCAAACTGTTTGCCGGGTGCCTGACACTGTTGCCAGCAGTTTACAAACACTGGGGCATTACATTCCATGCAAGCAAGCCGGGGAGGTGGAGGCTCCCATTGTCGCCATTTCACAGGTGAGGCACCTGAAGCACAGAAAGGGGAAGCAACTTGCCCGAGGGCACGCAGCCTTTGGGTGTAGAGCAGGTGCACTGCGGTGCTCCGGTCCCCTCTTCCCTCTGCCGGACTGGACACACCCGCGGCAGGATCTGGTCTCTGCCCCTGGATCCCCAGCATCTTCGGTCAAGCTGGGGCCCGGGCCTCCATGCGGGGCGGGAGAGGGCGAGAAAGCACCCGACCCTGGCGGGCCTCTCAGACGGCCCTCCCTCCTCTCCCACCGTCTAGAAGCTCCGGAGGTTGACGATCCCCAGCGCCGATCTGAAAATGCGGGGCAAGCTTGGGACAGGCCCACGGACGGTGATGGTTAATGACTGTGACGCCAAACTCAAGGGCGATGGGTCCATTGCCACCATCACAGAGAAGGAGACGCACTTCTGAGCCGGCCGCCGGGGGACCGCCGCCTCCCGTGTGCACAGGACTCCCTGGGACACCCACTTCACCTAACGGTAGCCGCGCGCCGACCCGCACGGGGTTTATTAACAAGTTAATTTTACAGTGGCCGTGCCCACCCTGGCTTGAAGTCACAGGCCCCGCCTCGCCCCCCGTTCTCTGGAAGTAACACTACGAGAGATAATACTGTACAGTGACTAGCAGCACCCCCTTGTGCTCCCACGCTTTTAACCAGTGTTTTCTAGGGCTTAGGAAGAACTGTATCATATGGCAAACTTTGATATTCGGGCTGTGGCGCGGGCGGGGCGGGAGCCAGGCCTGGCCTCCTCGGCAGCCTCGGAGCGCGCCATTCCGCGTCCCGGGCTTGCCCCCCCCTTGCAGCCTCCCCCCTTCCTCACCCCCCAGGACTGGCTCCTCCAAACCCTCCCTCCACCAGCCCCACCTCCCAGCAGCGGGTTTGCAGACGGCAAGGCTGTGTCGAAGAGAAAGTCCCACCAACTAGGGGCTCCTCCGCCCTCTCCCACTAAGTGACCTTGGGCACCCCCTCTCCGACCCCAGACAGTTTTCCCATCTCCCAAGTGGGAGGACTGGGTCGGCAGCTCTCGGAGCAGCTCTCCAGGACCCTCTGTCCCTCCACGCCCCCTGGCCTGCAGACCTGCCCTGGGGCTTGGGTTCTCCTGAAAACTCACGCAGTCACCCCTCTGTCCTGTCTCCGCTCCCACCCTCAGCTCCGCCTCTGCAGCCTCGAGGTGCTGGCTGCGGGGGCCGGGGGCTGGCTGCGGGGGCCTGGGGCTGGCTTGGCCGTGGTCGGGAAGCAGCTTCTGTTCTCCTGTGGCTGTCCTGCCTCTGCCTGGAGTCTGCATCCGAGACCCCGGGGACCTGGAGCTGGTCCCCTCCCCTGCCACCTCCTCCCTCTCACCGTCCCTGGCCCTCCTGTCTCTCCAGCACCTGCCCTGCTCAGTCTCCTCCCTGTTCTTCCTATCACCAGCAGAGCCTTCTAGGAGGCTTCTTCCTACCCTTTTTGGGGGAGCCATCCCACCACCTCCCTTGCCAGGGGGCCCACCCTCGGCCCTTACTGTAGGGGAGACCCTCCCTCCTTGCCGGCCTGAGGCCTGGCAGGGCGGCTGCTGCTGCGGCCTGTCCACCTCATCTTTCTCCTTCCTCATCGGATCTGACATCCAGCCTCTGCCTCGGATGCTGAGTTATTTGAGGGCAGGGAATGCACCACCTTTATCCTCTTCTGTATGTTCCCAGTTGTATTGGGTGGAAACTCAGGCTTACTTTGCTGTGATGAACCCACGTGTCTGATTCACCCAAAAGTTTCCAAACTCCCAGCCTCTCTGCTCCGGCCAACCTGGACTGAAGCCTGAGTTTGCTCAGAGGGGTACCCAGCGCCCCCTGGGGCCTGGGGACGCTGGTTCTGGGCCCTCTTATGCACGCACAGCTGGGCCTCTGACCTCTGGCCTACCCCCCTCCCCCATGTCTGATCCCAGGGACCCAGGAAGACCCCCCTGGGAGCCCCTGCTCGTGTCCGTCCTCGTCTGCTCCTCTCCCGACAGGCCCAGGAGGGTCCCGCTGCTGCTGCTGCTACCGGCTGCCCACCCTAGCCGCTCCGGCCCCTGCCTCGGGCCCGTGCGCGGCGCTGCCCTTGACCCGCTCATCACTGCTCGAGGGCAGGGCGGCGGGGGCTCCTGTCCTTTGGGATTTTGTAATTTCCTACTAGTATTTGGGTAACTCGGGGGTGGGGAGGGAGACGTGGGGCCGGGTTGTGGTGACTTTTTTGATATTCATTAGAAACAATACATCCTTTCTGAGATATTTACAGTATTATTAAAAAACGAAAAAGGTTGTACTGTTTTGCAGAATGAACGTTTTTATTGGGTATCCCAAGGGCACACGATTGTCTGCTTACTCATTTTTAAATATTAAAGGAATGAACAAACTATCTGTGGCTGTTCCTGTGGTCCGGGGCGCATTCCCGGCGTCCCCCGGCGACCCCCGGAGCCCTCTCGGCCAGGCTCGAGGGCTGCAGCCCCAACAGGCGCTGGCGGATGAGAAACAGCCCCATAAAGTCGACCCTTCCCCCGTTGCTCCCCGCTTTACAGATAAGGGAAATGGAGGCACCCGGGGGAGGAACCTGCCCCATATGGCACAGACAGCGGAGTGGGGGGCAGGTCTGTCAAACCAGAGTCCCTGATGTTCTGGGGGGCTGTGGGGTGGGTCTGGCTGGAGGAAGGAGCCTCCCTCCCTCATCCCGCCCTTGCCCCAGGCCTCCCGGGCCCACAGGGCCGCCGCCGCAGCAGTTCAGACAGCAGGTGGCGCTGCGGCGAGGCCCAAGCCCCTCCCTGGGGTCCAGCTCTGCCCAGGGAGGTCATGCTGAGCCCGGGGTGGGGGGTGGGGGGGCAGCTGAGGGACAACAGGGTTCTTGAAAAAAATTCTACAGTTCACCCTTTTCACTGCCTCCCCCCAAGCCTAGCTCCGGTCTGCAGCACACAGAGCTCAGTGTTCATGCCCGCCCCCCACTAGCTGTATGACCTCAGGAGAGTGACTTCCCCTCGCCGACCTCAGTGTCCTCATCTGTGCACATGGAGGGGTGAGCTCCTTCCAACGGAGTCACCGAGAGGCCGAAACGAGACCGAGGCGCACACCCCAGTGTCCACGCGTGCACTGTGGTTCTCGTGACCTGTCCTCTAGGGACCACGGTCAGAGGGGCCTCGGACAGTCGCTCTGCCTCCCTGGGCCTCAGTTTCCTTGTCTGCAACATGGGGCTCCTCTCAGGGCCTCTCACTTTCCGTCATCCTGGGGAGTAAATGAGAGGGTGGTAAATGGCATTGGTTCATAGAGCTCCAACTAGACAGAAAAGTGGTTACTGGAAACCAGGTTATTAAATTTTCCATGGGGGGCGGTCAGATGAATCTGCAGGCGTGTAAGGTGTGAGGAGCAGGCAGTCTCCCAGGCCCGGCCTCGCTCGCGCGCTGCCGCCCTCACCCAGCCCCTGCCTCTCCATCCATCCTGGAGTCCTGCCCACAGCCCACTTGGGCATAAACACAGAACAAAAGGAGGAGGCCCACCGTGGGAATGCAGGTGATGATTACCTCTGGGTGACAAGGTTTGGGCTGGTTTTGTTTTTCTCTTTTTCTGTATGATCTATTTTTTTCTCAAACAAAGAGCATTTATTGCTTTTATATTCTAAAAAGTAAAATCAATAAAGTTATTTTTAAAAATCATCCCCACACCACTGGGAGGCTGGCTGGAAGGTGGGGGGTGGTCTGGGACCCGGGAGCTGGACCTCAGGGTGAGGGAGAAACGATGGAGCAGGACACCCCTCTGGGTGGTATAATTACCCACAGCATTCATGGGCTTCCAGCAGTCTCCAGCATGTCTCAAACAGCTTGTTGCCGCTTTGCAAAGGAGTGAAGGAAGCCACCCTGTGAGAAGGCGGACTGTGTGCACCCTGGTATGTCAGCGGACCCCTCGCCCCCACACACCCATTGAAGTGAGGCCAATTTTACAGATGAGGAAACTTGAGTATGTTTTCAGATCTGACCGCCTTCTCAGTGCTGCCTTTCGGGTGTCCGTTTGGGGCACTTCAGACTCCGTTTCCTAATTGAATTCATCCACCCCAACATCCACCGGTCTCTTCCCACCTCAGTAAAGGGCACCATCATCCAATCCCTTCCTTCAGCAAATGCTGATGGGGCACCCCCTATGACCCTGGCCTCCAGGAGCCTACATTCTAGTGGGAGAACAAGGTGATGCACATTTTAAAAACTAAAAATATATAGTGTGGCAAAAGGGGTTAGTCAGTCTGGCTAAAATCAAAGTGGAGCTGAACCATAAAGAGGGCTGGGAGTTCGGGGTGGGGGGGGGTTGAATTTTTAATAGGACGGTCGGGGGCTCACTGAGAACGCGCGAGGAGTCTGCGGCTATCTTGGGGAAGAGCTTTCCGGGTAGACGAATGGCACATGCAAGGGTCCTGAGGTGAGGCATCAGGAGAGTTCCCAGTGACAGAGGCCAGGGTGGCTGAAGCAGAATGAGCAAGGGAGGAGCGTAGGGGAGGTAAGAGAGGTGTGGGCGCCTGCGGGGTCTGGGAGGCTGATTCAAGTGTGAGGTGAGGAACCCCAGGAGGCTGGGAGCAGAGGGGAGACTCTGGCTCCTGTGTGGAGCTTGGGTGGAAGCAGGGAGACCAGGGGGAGGCTGTGGTAATGCAGGCGAGATGATGCCTGGGCCAGGGGGAGCTCAGGTGGAGCACATGCTGACGTGGAGTCAGACCACAGAATGGACTGGAGGAGGCCAAGGGTGCTTGAGAAGTCAAGGACGACAGGTGTGAGGCCTCCTCGCTCCCCACATTCCATCCATCAGCCAGTGTCCTCGGTTCTCTCAAATCTATCTGCAGCGCTGCCCTGGACCTTCCTCCAGCCCTGCTGTGGCCTCCTGCCTGACCTGCTGCCCCCAGTTCCCACCCCTAGTGCCCACACCCATGGGCCCGCTACACCTGTCTGTGCTCCCGGACACTCTGCTGGAGAATTAACACCCCAAAAGGAAATCAGAGGAGGGGGTACACCTCCAGCAACCCCTCCTCAGCCTCAGTTTGCCCCATGCCACTTGATCCTCAGGCCCACAGTTGCTGGCAGGGCCTGGGCGTTCCATCAGGGTGTCGGGTCTTACCTGGGATAAGGTCTCCCGAGGCCTGGTGATTCCCACCCGCCCCCGCCCTGCCCACCTGCCATGAACGGAGCAGGCGCCCTTGGAGTCCCCGCCGGATTCCGCCCAGCGCCACCCCTGTCAGCAGGGGGACCTAAGGCAAAGCCGGCTCCTCGGAGCCTCCCCTGCACAATGCAGCCCTCCTCTCAGCACAGCAGGACCCAGCACACAGTAGGTGCCCAGCCAAGGTTCAAAAGAGTTTACCCTCCGCCCTGGAGGCAGCTGGACCCACGGCCTGCACGCCCCCCTTCCTGGGCCTGGGCAGCTGCAGCCGAGGGAGTGTTTTTATCTCCCCAGCGCCGTGGGCTCCGCGCAGCTCGGCAGAGGCCCTGCGTGTGGACAAAGAGCTCTTGTTCCCGCGGATCTAAAATTGCCTCCCTCTGATTGCCGCTATACAACCCGGGCCCGCTTCCCCCAGCCAGTTGGGTCTATTTCAAGAACGCGCTGATGAGCGCTGATTGCGCCTTGATTGTGGCGCGCGCCCAGCCCCCGCCCAGGCTGCGTGGGGAGTATTTGCTCCCGCACCCACCGACCGCGGCCCAGGCCGGCACCCAGGGGCCACCAGACAGGTGGAGGGTGCTCGGTGCTCTGCCTGTCCACCCCTGGGCTTTGGGGGTGCCCGGCCCCGCCTGCCTCCACTGCACTCAGTGGAGGACAAAATCAAGGAGAGGGCCACCGGGGTGGGGGGCCTGGAGGCGCGGCCAGGGCCTGTGGGGGCGGTGCGGTTGTGGCCAGGGCAAGCCGCACTCCCGGTCACCCCACCACACCCACGCACGTACGCACACCCACACATGCGTGTGCACACACGAGCTCCCTGAGCTCCTGTCCCCGCCTGTACTTGAGGCTGCCCTTGGCCGGGGGATGCGGCTTTACTAACCAGGGCCCCCCTCACCGGGCAGCCCGGGCTCACTGTCTGCCCCGGGTCCCCTTTCGAGGCGCCATTTTGTGTCCACCTGAGGCGAGGATCCTGCAGAGGTAAGGGGACTTGTCCTGCCCCCCAACTAGGAAATGGGCCCTCAGGATTTGAACCCAGGGTGTGTCAGGGGCAGCCAGTGCTCCCCACCATCCCGCAGGCTGATCCGGGCCCTTGGCGGTGCGGGGAGCCCTGGAGCAGAGGTGCTGGGTATCGGACCGTAGTGCTGCTCACTCCTGCCGAGCTGGCGCCGTGGGAGCCGGGGAACTTCTCCCTCCCGGGGTCTGTTTCTTCCTGTGCAACATGGGGGGACTGTTCAGGGCGCCCCAAACTCTAGGCCATTGCCTTGGTGGACGGCCTCATTCTTGGAATCACTTGGAAATACAGAGTCCGCAGAGACCCGAGGTCAACAGGCCTGTGGCGGGTGCAGGAACCAGTGATTTAGCAGAGGGTGGGTGTGGCACCAGCCAGACACCCTCCCCACCCCCAACCCACCCATCCGCGAGGCCTATCTGCTCTGCCCTCAGGTGGGCCTCCAGTCCGTGCCCCGCTGGGCTGCCCCGCGGGCAGTGAGCGCCTGCGCCGGGGAGGACGCGGGCAGCTCCCGGCATCCGCCTGGAAGGCCGTCGTGGAGGGACGTCTGCCTGGGCCGGGCTGACCTAGAGCCCCTCTGCTTCCCACCTAGGAGAGCTTCCTGTGAAGCTCCAGGACCAGGGGAGTCTGCGCTCCCGGGGTGCGGGGAGCAGCGGGGAGAGCGGAGACCGGGCTCCGGCCCCGGCCCCCAGGGCCCCGAGCAGTCTGCACACACGCCCGTGCCCAGTCTGCACACACGCCGTGGCAGCAGCGCGATCCGGAGCTCCGGCAGGCGCTGGGATCTCCTCCAGTTTCCCATGTGGCCCCTGGGCCCCAGCAGCCCTGGGAAGTGGACTGGTGGGCCCCACTCCTCGCCGGGGGCATGTGCAGCCCCCAGGGACTGCGGCGTGCAGTCCAGTCCCCTCCTGAGACCCCCTGCTCGCTCCAGCCTCCCCGACCTTTTCCCTACCCCCCTGTTCTTGTTGCCCGATGCGGCTGCCCCTGCTCCACCCCGTCGCGTCTCCCTCACACCCCCTCAGGCTGCGTCCCCTGCGTATTCCTGCTGCCCCCTCATTTCACACCTTCTCATCCCTCCTGTCTGATGACCTTGGCCCTGTCCATGTGTGCAGCCCCCCACTCCCATCTGTTTACCAGACCTGGACCTCTGGTCACCCAGCCCAGGGCCCCAGCGAGGCTGCAAGGGCAGGGCCAGGGCACAGGTTTCTGCCAACGGCCTGTGGGGATGACCTCCCGGATGTGGACAGGCCAGACGGACACTTGACCTCTGCTGTTACCGGGTGGTTCCAAAGCCCCTCCACCCCTGTTGGGGGATGGGCTCCAATGTTAGGGTCTCTAGGGAACAGAAGGGGAGGGAGACATGGGCCCAGGCGTCCTCAGGTGTCCCTATGCAGAGAACAGCCACGGGGGGCGGGGGCAGCCTGCTGAGGTGTGAGGACACAGAACCATGGGACACAGAACCACGGGGCAAGTAGGGGAGGCCTTGTCAGGGGGAGGGTCACGCACAGAGGCTCTGTATGACCCTGGACCAGTCACCTGACTCTCCAGGCCTCAGTTTCCCCATGTGTGACATGGGAAGCTCGTTTCTACCTCCAAGGCTTGTGAAGAGTCCATGAGCTAATGGGTGCGTAGTGCGTCACACCTGGCAGGACACGGTGGTGCTCAGGGACTGACCTGTGTCCTGTTGGATGTCTGGGTGGGGTGCACAGCTGGGCCAGCATCTGACCCCTCAATAATGGGGAGCTCCAAGGTGAAGACTCACCGTAATGTGGCCACTGGTCAGTTCAGGGAGATTTACTCCAGTGAGCAGACAAAACCAGCCTCAGAGAGATGCAGCCGCAGCCCCAAGTCCTCTGCACATCTAGCAGGGCCAGGGCCTGAGCTCAGGTGAGTGGCCCCTCAAAATATGTCACACACATTTTCCAAAATATGAAATGGTGCTAGGTCCAAACTCGGGGGACCCACATGGGGCTGCTGTGGCGTCTCCAAGGCCCATGTGTGGGAGGTAGGCTACAAGCAGATGTTAGCCCAGATTCTGGGATCCTGCAGACCCCTGGAGCACCCACCCTGTTGCTAGGCAACAGCTGCTCCCTGCAGCAGAGGATGCGTAGAGGGAGGCTGAGCAGCAGCTTCGTCCTCCAAGGAGGCCTATGGAAGAGCTCCCAGGCCGGGCCAGTGAGAACCGGAGCTCAGAGGGGTGTGGGGACTGTGACAAGTTTACCTCACGGCAGTACCAAAAAGCAGGGCTGGCAGGACTCTTAGGAAGTCGACACACAACATGAACACTGATCCCAGTTCTGGGTTAGGACAGACCTTGCCAATCCATGCCCATTCTCGCCAAGAGCCAGCCTTGGCCTGAGAATTCTTGACACAGTGGACAGGACGTTCTACGGTAGATCAGAGCTGGCATGAAAGGGAAACTCGTTAATTACCTCTAATCTGCTCCTGCCTGCTCATTTTACAGATGGGGAAACTGAGGCCCAGAGGAACGAAATGCACATGGGGTCTGGGAGCCAGAAAACCTCAGTTCTTGGCTCTGAGCTGTCTTGCTGTGGCTACAGGCAAGCTCCTTCACCTGTCTGAACCTCAGACTCCAGAGATGTAGCAGGGTTTGAACAAGGGGTTCCCTTATACAGACACACACACACACACACATTTTCCTTAGAGAACCCATATTGGGGGTTTTTCCCTCTGAAATTTTCCACGGTCTTCTTATCTTCTCATCTCAAGCATGATCGTTCCAGGCCCAGCCACCGGGACACCGGAGGTCCTCTGCTGGGCAGGAAGCCCTAGGGCCTCCGGAAGCAGCCTGGCGACCAGAGCAGGGCCCTGTAGACACCCCAAGACTAAGCACAGGGGAGCAGTGTTCAGCTGGACCCAGGACTGGGCAGCTTGTTCCTGACACAGGGAGGGGCTGGGGGCCTTGCTGGGGGTGGGGAGCGGCCCTGTGGCTGCCCCCTCTGGCTGTGTGACTCTTGCTGCCTCCAGGCGGGACGGAGGACTTCGTCTCATCTGGCTTCTGTTTGGATGCGCTTGGGCTCGCCCCAGAACCAGCGCCTGCAGACCTCACTCACATCCTGTTAAAGTCGCCTTTTCACCGTGGTTATGTCGGCCTTACCTGCCTTTGTCACGGAAGTGGCCGTGAGCCTGGAGCAGGAAGAAGGTCATCAGCCAGAAGCACGGGTTTGAGAGCGTGGGGTAGAACAGGATTTCGCTGAGCACCTACCGCGAGCCAACCGCCATGTCCCTTGCGAGCTTCTTGCCTCTCGGGGTGCGCACCCTGACAAACCCATCAGTCGGCAACTAAAATGACGATGATGCCTGTGCGGAAGAGAGCAAGGGCCTGGGCCAATGAATCTTCAGGCTGGGGGTGGGATGCTCCTGAAGGAGGGTCCAGCAAGGTCAGTCTCAAGGACGCACCCAGGAGAAGGGTCCAGCCAGGGGGAGCAGAGAGCAGCAGCCAGAGGACGGAGCAAATGCAAGCCCGGGCAGGAGCGGAGCTCCTGGAGGGTGACGAGCAGGAGGCAGCCCTGGTGGAGGCTAGACAGGTGGGAAGGCCTGGCAAGGGGTCTGGGGTGGCGGGCGGAGAGCAGGGCACAGGCGAGAGAATAGACTGGAGGATGGGTCAGCTTCCGGGCAACAGGAGGCCCTCACTGCGATATGTTGAGGGCCTACTGTGTGCCAGGCTCAGATGCGTGGGGAGCCCATGCCTGCCCCCTGCACCCCCACCTCTCAGCCCAGAGGCTGAGTTTCCTGTCCAGATGGGGACTTGGGGAGTGTTCAGAGCAGCAGCTGCAAAACACCCCCTCCCACATCCCTGGCATGAGCACGTGGCCCTGGGCAGTCAGCCTCAGCCTTTCAGGAGGCCTGGGCTCAGAGAGCAAATTCCCTCGGGTTCCACAGAGTTCTGTCATTTTGTTCCCTGGTCTCCCAATTTGGGGAAATCAACCCAGGCAGGGACAGATGGACACCTGGTGACTTGGACTCCCATCTAGAATGTCTATGTTCACGTCAGGTCCTGCCTGAAAATGGGCCCCCATTCCACCAGACTCCTAAGAAATCCAGGGCCCGGGGCCCATTCCTGACCTGCCTGTTCAGAATCCCCCAGGGAGTTCTTGACTGTTCACAAGTTTGTCAGGACTGGGAACCCCTGACGAGCCCCGCAGAGGAGAAGGGGACAGCTGGGGCCCTGGAGGCAAGAGCCCCAGGCTTGAATCCTAGCAGACCTGTGTGACGCGGGCAAGTCGCTGAACCTCTCTGAGCATCCCTCCATGACAGTGGGAGATGGAAAATCACTTCCTTCCCTCCAGCCACCGCCAGGATTCTTCCCAAGGCTTGAGAAGCTCCCAGCACAGTGGGGGTGCATCAATGCAGCAGCTCTCCCAGCCGTCCTTGAGGTGCGTCCTTGTCGGTGTTTAGACAGAAACCGCTGGCCAGTAATGACTCCCCAAAAGATTGCCGGGGCCTGCCGAGTGGCCCTTTGTTCCTGCTGGTGGGGGCAGGCTGGGATCTCTCAGACGGGGTCCCTGGGCACCGAGGGCCCCGGGCACGCGCTCTCCCCGCAGGGGCACCGGGGAAGCAGCGTCCTGGTGGCCGCTGGGCGGGGTCAAGCCCGCTCAGCCAGACCTGTGGGCGGGGAGGAGACCACCGAGGAAAGCTCAAAGAGAAGGAAAAGTCCCCAAGTGGGTCAGCCTGGCCTGGACACTAACCCCGTCCCTCCCACCTACCCGCAGGCCCGCCAGCCACGGGCTGTCATCTGCACTCGCTCCTCTCCTGCGGGCGCCTCTGACCCCGTTTTCTACCTCTTGGCAGTGCAGAGGGAGGGAGGTTCTGATCTGCTCTGATCTGGAGCACAGGTGGGGGAGGCCAGTGGTCCATGCTGGGTGTTCCAGGCGGCGGGGGAGTGTGTCACCCAAGTGTCTCAACATTATTTGGATGGATTTACGGAGGAACCTGGGGAATAAGGTGGTCAAAGCAATACAGACTTCAGGGCAACCTGAATAGGTTCCAAACCCAACCCCCCAGTTTTGAGCCATGTGGTTGCAGGCATTGGCCTAAGTGTCCTCGCCCATAAAATGGGGAGTTGCCAAGGTTACATGAAATGCCCGGGCCTGGCACTTGCTCAGAGCTGCGGTGTGTGTCCGAGGCCGGGGGTCAGGCTCGGGAGTGGGCAGACCTGAGCTGGGGTCCTGGCTCTGTCCGTAAGAGTCCTGTGTGTTGAGACAAGTGGCTTCACTTCTCTCCACCTCATCTCCTCATCTGTGACACGGAGATGCACGCGCCAGGCTGCGAGTGTGCTGCCAGCGACGCATGTGCCAGCCTCGTGCAGAGCCACGCTCGGCCAGCAGTGGCTCCTGGGGATCTGACTTCATTTTGCTGAACGTACACCCTGTGTGCAGCACTGGGGCCCAGCAGGGGAGAAGTGTCTGGGCAGGTAGTGACCCCACTCTGTCCTCCACGGCCCTGAGCGAGGAAACTTGGCTCAGGTCAACCCCTTTGTTCTGCAGAGGAAGGGTGAAGGACCCCAAGTCACCCAGTCAGTGAAAGAGCCAGTCCCCCCACCCTACCATACACCACACTGCCCACCCCACCGCATCTGTCCCGTCTGATAACCCTTGACCCCAGCCCGCCTAGACAGTGACCCTGGAGCTTCCAGGGAGGTGCACTCAGAAGACATCAGCAGGTGCTCATGGCCTGGCCAGATTCCTGCTGTCAGCGACGGAGCAGCTGTGGAGGCCACGCCATCTGGGCAGCTACTTAGCAGCGCTTATGCCTGCCCTTCCAGGATGGGAAGCGAGGTTGTGCTGCGACACCCCCAGGCGTGAGCACCAGAGGAGCCCCAATCGCCCCAGTCTGGGAATGCACTTTGCTCAAAGCCCTCCCCACGAAGTGACCCGACCAGCCACTGACCATGTGCTGCTGAAGTGCAAGTATCCCAAGACTCACCTGGGGGTCAGGAAACTTGGACTGCGGGGTGACATAGGAGAGGCCTACAGGTTGCCTGTCTCCACCGCAGACTCTGGAACCAGGTTTGTATCCAGCCTTCATCGCCATGGAGGCTGTGCCTCAGGCTTCTCACCTGTAAAGTGGAAACAGCCTCACTAATAGCTCTGACCTTGCAGGGGCTTGGCACTGAGCTAGGGCTCAGAGCTATCTGGCATTGTTATTCAGAGAGAGCAATCCTGCGGCTGGGGTGGGTGTAGGGGGTGTAGGGAGAGCCCCCGGGGATTATCATGGAGTCACCCCAAGGGAGCTTATGTAAGTGACAGATGCATTTTGGTGCCCAGAACACCTCTGACTCCTCTGATTGCGACTCACAAGCTCCTGACCTCTTAATTTCAGCTGCCTACTACAGGCAACCTGTAGTAGGCTCCTCACTTCTCTCAAGCAACACCGAGGTCTTGTGTAAATGTGGGGCATCTCACTTCCTGCTCCCCAACCCTATGCCCTGCGTGGCCTTTCACACAAACCACCTCCAGCAAGTCCTTGCCTCCACTCCGGAGTTCAGGGGAACCTGATCCTGGGCCAGGAGCAGGCTCTGCCTGGCTCTGCCATCTACACCAGTGTCCCCTTTGCAAGGCCAGCCTGTCCGGGTCTCAGTTCCTTCATTTGCCATGTGACTGTGACCTGTGGCCAGAGGATGCCGATATCAGTGGGAAGCCTGGGTGTTCCCTGGGGAGCTCATCCCCCACTTGTTCCTCTCTACCCTGCACGCCTCAGGGTCTCTCTGTCTCCCAACCTCAGTCCCAACCCTCTCTCAGCCACGAGTTCCCACCTTCTTGCCTCAAGCTCTCCCAGACCTCTGTGTGATGGTTGGGGGCAGAGGGGTCTGTCCACACACAGGTGACATGTGGGAGTTCCCACCCCGGGCATGTTTGTCCAATCCATGTGAACACCACATGTGCCAGTGCATGTGCAGTGATGTGCAAGCCCACTGTGTGCGTGTGTGTGTGCACACCTACATGCATACACTTTCTCAACCACAGTGTGGCCTGGGAGCACTCATGCAATTCAACCACAGGTAGACAGAGGGGATTCAAGGTGCCTGCAGCCTGAGCAGGAGGCCACAGGTCTCCTGTCTCCACTGCAATCCCAGCGAGGAGCAAGGAGGCAGAAGCATTTTGGGCAGGGAGGTTGAAAGAGGAGGAAAAAGGGACTCAGTTACTGGCACCAAGTGTTTTAGGACTGTCCCCTCCCCTGCCCCTCACAATGACGGGGGAATAGGGGTTATAAGCTCACTTACAGAGAGGGCAGTGGCGTGTAACTCCGAAGTTCACATCCTGGATCTTCTGCTCACGAGTTGTGGGAAACAGCCTTGATGAATCCGACTCTCAGTATCCTCATCTGAAAGTGAGGCTGACGATTCTCAGGTCTCAGGATTCTGGTGGAAGTCAGGGGAGCATGCAAAGCGCTTTTAGCCCAATACCTGGTATAAGAAAAGGGGTTGTCAATGAGGGTTATGTTTATAACTGTGATCACACAGATGGAGGCCAGAGACCATCGACCTTGTGCTCAGGAGCCTCATGTACTTGCTGTCCCTTTGGGGGCACTGGTCACCCCGTGCCCTCTGGCCCCTGAAGTGGAAGGCAGCATACCTGGATGTCTTCCTTGGCCGCTCCACTCCCAAGAGCCACCTCTGCTCAAAAGCAAAACATTGGGAAGGCAGCCAAGGTCACATGGGCACCCCCTCCCAGCCTCTCAGAGACAGAAATAAAGTGTATAACTGTCAGAAGCATTATGGAACTGTCACCGGTATGTGAAATCACTCCTGTGAATTATTAATAAGTCACGGGCCTAAGTATTCAGTGACGGTATAAAAATGACAAAAATGCTTATCAAGAGATAAAGAATAAAACACAACAAAGACAGGTGTGAGCGGCAGGAAACAGGAGCCAAGAGTTGGGAGAAAGCAGAGCGAGGCCACCGTGTTTCAGGACCATGGAAAGCGACGCGGATGGGGACAGAGGCCTCAGGGCGCCGGGGGGCGCAGGAGCTCAGCTGTCAGGTCGCCACTCCAGAGCTGGCTTCCTGCTCCACTTTCAATGGGCCGAAACCATGGCCAGAACTGAGCACGGGGTGGGGGCCCCATCCCCAACTCCACAGGAGAGGCTGGGGGTGCATCCTGCTGATAATTGTCTTTCTCCAGCAATTTGAGATAACTAATCAGCACCATGATATTGGCAGCTGTGACTGCTAATGGAGTTAGAAACTGTCAAACTGAAGGTAATAATTGTCTCCTTTAAAAAAAATCTAGTTAATTAGCATAATCAAGGCATAAATGGGCCAATATTCCTAACCCAACGGGGGGGAGATGAATATGAATTATGATGCCTTCAGGGTCTCCAGCAGAAGTATTGACACCAGCCAGGAGTTGGGGTCAGAATTTCACAAGGGAGAGGGCAGGACATGCGTGTGTACTCGGGATGTTACAGTGTGAGTGCCCCAGAAGATGTTATTTTATGCGAAGGGCACCCCTCTTTTCAAGGCAGAGATTTCATCTTGGCATTTTTCCAACCCACCCTTTGATGTGTTTTTACTGAGCACCTGCTGGGAAGGCAGCCAAGATTCATTCTTGGCACCAAAAAGAAAAGAAGTTTTTTGAAGTTCACAGAGCGTGCTCCCCCTCCGTCACACCCCTCCTCATCTATCCTACTCCCAAAAAGGTTTATGATGTCAGGGTTAGGTGAAAGTTCATTCCAAGTTATGCATGTCTCTCTCGTGAAGCCTCCTAGGGCGCTTTGGGAACAGAAGAATATCTTATCTCACTTTTCTCAAAGGCATCTCCCAAATCAAGGCAGATGATGGCTCCCTGAGCTGTGTGCCCTGTGGGTGAGGATGTACAGGGAGACAGATGTGAAATGATCCTATTACATGGCACATCGTATGTGCTGGACATTGACCAAGACTATGTGACCACTGATTTAATCCTCCCCGTGGCACTAGGTGGTAGATGCCCCTTCCATCTCCATTTTATAAATGAAGAAACTGAGGCACAGAAATGTTCAAACAACTTGCCCCAAATCACCCTGCTAGTGAATTTCAGAGCCAGACACTCTAAATCCAGAGTTCATGTTATCAAATTTTAATCCAAAGCAGAAGAGTTACACTTGATGAAGTCAAACACCCATAAGAAAGGCTGGGAACAGAGAAGCAACAAACGCTCACTGAGCACCTAGTGTAGTCACAGGCACTCCCCATGTGGAAGTCACTGAGCTGGCTGCTGAGGCCATCAGGGGAAGCCTGGCCCTTGCAGGCTGGAGGTGAGGGTGACACGTACTGCCCTGGGCTCTTGGTCAGTCAATTCATGTGCTCTGGGTCTTCCACTTACCAGGCAGGTGTCCCCTGCCTGGAGTTTGAGTTCCCCCCAGAGACCATGTCTCTTGAAATACGGATTCGAGTTTAAGCCATTTATATGGGAGGTGAATCCAGGAAACACCAATAGTGATGTGAGAAAGTGTGTTCATTACCTGTTGCCATAAAAAATTGTCTCCAAAATTTAGCAATGTGAAATAACAGATGCCTTTGATCAATTGTTCTCGGAGGGCCAGGGAGCTGGAAGTGATCTGACTGGGCGGTTCCGGCTCAGGGAGTCTTGGGACAATCCAGTCAAGCTATCAGGACTGCAGTCATTTGAAGACTCAGCTAAGGCTGAAGATTCACCCCAACCTCACTAATGGCTGTTGGAAGCCCTTGATCCATCACTGGCTGCTGGGTGGGGGTTCAATTCCTCCCAATGTGGTCACCATGACAGGGAAGCAGGCGGTCCCCAGAGTGAGTGATGAGAGAGAGACACACATCAGGAAAGAAGCCACAGCATCTTTCAGAACCTAATCTTAGAAGTGACATTCCATCACTTGTCATATTGTACTGGTCACACAGAATAACCCAGATGCAGTGTGGGAGAGGCTATAGGGGATGAATATCAGGAGGTGGGGAGATCATCTGAGAGTCTCGATGTCCCAGAAAGTGAGATGGGAGAAGCAACAGAAGACAACAGAGGGTGTGTTATCAAGCCAGGTCCACAGGACATCTCCAGCTTAACCCCATCAGGGAGACAGACACTTCAGAATCACCCCAACCTGCCATGAGGACAAGGGTATTTTTCCACCAATCTCACCTGCCATGGGTTGAGGGCTGCTTTCTGGGCATTGGAGCCTACACTGCACTGGGTAAGTATGACGAGTGCTGAACTCTTGGATTCTCCTGCAGGGATGATGTTCTGTCTTGCACCCCAAGTTTCCTCATCTGTAAGTGAGGATGGTTATAGTTCTACACGATAGAGCACTGCACAGCGGTTGTGCCTGACACATAGTAAGTGTTCGACAAAGCATATGACATGGCTAAGTTGGTTATTCTGATGGATGGTTGTGAGTGTGAAATGAGATGTTGTCAACACTACGCTAGTTAAATCCTCTTTTCCTGACTCCTCTCCCTGTGTTCTTTCTAGCTCAACACATCATTTCCCCAACTCCAGGCAATAACTCTGTAGATCTAAGTGCTTTGATGCTTCTAGCCCAGAGACATACAGGGAATAGGAGTGAATGATTTCAAAAGTCCCCGCAAGCCTCGGCATCCAAAAGGTGGGCAGGACTGAGGACAGCACCTTGGACAGCTCCTTTGGGTGTCGTCCAGGTGAGAGCTCACCTGCCCTGCTTTCCCTCCATCCCTGATAGCCCTTCTGCGAATAGGTAAAGTGGTTTGTCCGAGATGCCACAGCTAAAGAGGGGCACAGCCAGGACTCAGAACCAACTGTCAGGGATGGGGTGCCTTAACAGCTCTGGGCCACAGTTCCTTCATCTGTTACAAGGGGACAAGGTAGGTTTCATGGGCTTATGATGTGATTTAATTCTTCTTTTGTCACTGTCTTGAAATTCTTAATAGATTTTTTTTCAGCAAAGATATCAGTATTTCCTCTTTGCCCTTGGCCCTGCAAATCACTTCGCCAGTCCTGCATGGAAATGAAAATAATGGCACCTCCCTCCACATGTTCTGGTCCGTGCCCCAGCTCCATACTCTAGCTGTCCCTACCGTGCCCTGTGGCCCCAAAGGCTGGTCTGTGAGGACTATCCCCTCAGGCTCACAGGGGTTGGGTTCAGCCAACAGGAGGCCCCACCAGCAGAGGGGAGGGCTGGAGGAGGGTGAGCTTACCCACACCACCATCCCCTGAAATGTAGCATCAGGCATCCACTGTGAGGACGGAGTCTGGGATGTGCGTCCTTGCAGGCTGTGTCCCTGGGTCACATGACCACTGTCTGTCACGTGACTGCTGTCTCTGCAGTGCTCTGCCCCTGGGTCTCCCTTACTCCAGTCATCACAGAGCCCTGCAAGGAGGACCTGCTGCCTTTACGTTACAGATGAGGAAACCGAGGCCATTTCCTGACCTTCCCAAGTTTTCATAGCTAATAAGTGAACAAACTAAAGGAAAGTCACCGCTCAACGTGGCTTTAATTCTTGGAGAAGATGGCCGGACAATAAGCACAATGGATAAGTGGATGGTGTAGGGCTTTAAAAGGCAACAAGTGCTGTGGAGAAAAGCAGATCTATATAAAGTAAAGGGGACCTATATTATATAAAGGGGATACATAGAAAGAAAGGGGATAAATACAATAAAGGGGGTGGGAATACTGGGGGTGAGGTGGAAAACAAAATAAGGTGATCAGAAAGTTTCCAGGAGATGATAGCATTTCAGCCAAGTCTTGCAGGAGGTGAGAGTAGGGGGACCATGTGAAAGAACTAAGTCGTAGGTAGAGGAAATGAGAAATCCACCCCCCTGGGGGAGGAGTCTGCTGGGCGTGGAGACAGGGCCAGCCAGGAGGCCAGCGCGGAGGCCAGTGCCCTGAGGCCAGGGGGTGGGTTTTCTCAGTGAATGAAGGAGTGAGTGCGTGAATAAGTGAATGAATTAGCGGGTGAGTGAATGAATGAGTGAGTGAATGAGTATCACGTAGCTTTTCAGATTGTTCTAAACCACTTACTCTGTGGAAAGGAGAGCATGAAAGGCTGGTGGAAACCGCAAGGCCCCGGAGTCTGGAGTCCAGGCTCAGCAGATCGGCAGCTGGGCCTGGTGGGACGCTGATGGTCTTTGCTGTGTTCCCAGCTGCCTCTGCCAGCCCTGTGTTCCCGCCGCCAGCACAACCTCGGGGAGCTGGTGTGATCACAGACATGAAAGGGAGCCCCATGCAGAGAAGATGATCAGAAGCCCGGAGACAACTGTTTTCCCTTGGAGTGAGCTTTCAAGAGGCCCCAGGCCCTTCTCATCCTCCCTCGTCCCCCTGGCGGCGGCCCCCCAGGCAGCAGGCTGAGGCCAGCTCCCCAGCAGGGCAAGCGGCACATGGTTGCTGAAATCAGAGCACTCGGTTGGTGCCTGCAGGCACCCGGCTCAGAGGAGGGGAGACCCCGGGAGCCTGCAATCCCCACAACAGAGCACTG